GGGAACGGGGGTTGCCTCTCACACACACACACACACACAGTCACACACACACACACACACACGCGCACGCGCACACACACACACACACACACACACACACACACACGCACTTGCGTCGGCGACTAGACAGAGTGACTGCGCCGCTGGCGTATGGAGCAAATGCAGGGCATACAAATGTTGATTAAGCATCGATGCGCGTGAAGAAGAGTGGGAACGCCCAGCGCGGGCAGGGGGGAGACAGAGGCGGGGCCCGCTCAGAGCGGGGCCAGGCGGCGGCGGAACAGCGCCAGGGAGGGAGGAGGGGCAGGAGGGACAGAGGCAGGGGGAGACACCGGGTATCCCTGGGGTCCTGGGGGGCGTCCGGGACCAGGCCTTACAACATTTTGGCCATTTCTATATAAGGTCACGGCTTGGCTGGGATCGGATCTGGCGCGGGGTTCGATCGCAGATCTCTCCTCGGGATCGGCCGCAGTCGCCCCGCCGTCGGCTCGAGGGGTTCCCAATAGGGGCCGGCGCATACACACACACACACACACACACAACAACAACAACAACAACAACAACAACAACAACAACAACAACAACAACAACAACAACAACAACAACAACAACATTAACAACGAAAACAACAACATCAACAACAACATCCATCAATTTACCCTCATGCACGATGTTTCCTTCCACACGAAGCATGCGACCATCATGATAACCATCCACATCATGGGGGATGATTGCTCTATAGCGGGATCCGTTATTTCCAGTCCCAGATCCCCCGCCCAATGAGGTCTTGCAAACATCTCCTCCAAGGTATTTCAACATATTCCGCCTCGAAAACACATGCCAGCGCCTTGCTGCGCCGATGCGAGACCGCCAGTGGAACCTCAGCGAAGGGTAAAGCACAAGGAAAAAACGAACGACAGGATTGCCTTGGTGGGGATAGGGACTGTCGGCGGTGAGGCAAGGGCCTGGCCCTGAATAGAAAGGGAGGAAGTCTCGAGCAGGGCTGCTGTTATTGCTGGGAGCGACGCCAATGCTGAACAGAGTAGGGCGCTAGTCCAGCGTAAAACAAAACCAAGTCTCGAGCGGGAACGCTGGTTTAGTTGGGACGGCGGCTTTCGGCGGCGAGGAGGAACGCCGCCTTGAGCAAAAAGGGAGGAAGCATCGAGCGAGAGCCGTGGTTTTGTCGGGACGGGGGCTGTCGGCGGCGAGGAACAGCACCGTCTTCAGGAAAAAGGGAGGAAGCCTCGAGCGGGAGCGTTGTTCTTGCTGGGAGCGGCGCCCACTCAAAAGAGAGTAGGGCGCCAGCCCAGCGTAAAACGGAAGGAAGTCTCGGGCGGGAGCGCTGGTTTTGTCGGGGCGGCGGTTTTCGACGGCGAGGAGGAACACCGCCTTGAGTAAAAAAGGGAGGAAGCCTCCAGCGTGAGCGTTGTTTTTGCTGGGGGCGGCGCCGATGAGAGAAAGACTAGCGCGCCAGTCCAAGGTAAAACGAGAAGAAGTCTCGAGCGGGAGCGCTGGTTTTGTTAGGACGGCGGCTTTCGGCGGCGAGCAAGAACACCAGCCCTGAGCAAAAAAGGAGGAACTCTCGAGCGGGAGCGCTGTTGTTGTTAAGAAGCCGGATTTCGCGGTCCCCCAAACCGCTCGAGCGTGAGCCTCATTTTCAATGAAAATGTAGCCAGCGCCTCGGCGAGAGCGCCAGGGCGCCTGTAAAGGGTCCAAAAGTAATAATTGTATACCAGAGAAAAACCCAATCATAATCTTTTTAGGGCTGTAGGGCTATAGGGCTACAGGGCTATATGGGCTCTTGGGCGCTATATGGGCTATATGGCTATATGGTTACAGGGCTATAGGGCGATAGGGATATAGGGCTATAAAGCAAAAGGGCTACAGGGCACCGGGCACCCGGGCACCCGGCACCCGGCACCCGAGCACCCACCCGGGCACCGGGCACCCGTCACCCGGGCACTTGGGCACCCGGGCATCCGGGCACCCGGGCCCGGCCACCGAATCGGCGGCGAACCCGGGCACCCGGGCACCCGGGCACCCGGGCCCAGCCACCGAATCGGCGGCAAACCCGGGCACTTGGGCACCCAGGCACCCGGGCACCCGGGCCCGGCCACCGAATCGGCGGCACACCTCACCTACCCTTAAATCTGCTAGGACCCCTATAGAGGCAAGCTCTGATTGGGGAACATTCAACATGTTTTGGCGGTCGCGGCCACGCGCGCAGCGGCTTGGCAGAAACACACACACACACACACACACACACGTTTTGCGTCAGCGGCGCAGAGGGTCCTCAGGCGCGGCCAGCAGATGGAAGTGCTAATTGCGATCGAACATATTCAAAAGCGCAGTGAAAGAACCGTCGATCACTCACGTGCAGGGACGGATGGTGGGTGGGACGGATTGTAACCCAGCGTGCAGCGGCCAGAAAGCCGAGGAGCACGTCCGAGCGAGCTAATTGCCACAGAACCATCCACACACACACACACACACAGGGTCATCGGAGTTGCGTTTTTTCCCAACCATCCTGTGGTGTTGGGTCCTCGTTTTGAAGAGACAGCGCCCCGCGTCCTCCACAATTACTCAATATGAATATACTCTCCCTCTTCCCCTGATGGCGTCTGGGTGATAGCCGCGCACCCTCCGCGTATTGTTTTTTTTACACAGGATGCCCGGGAAATCCCGGGAAACGACTCTCGCTGAGGCGCCGGCGTCATTTTTTCCCAAAATGCTGCTCTCGCGCCGGCGTCATTTTTTCCCAAAATGCTGCTCTCGTTGAGGCGCCGGCCTCATTTCTGCTCCCGAATCCTTCCCCTGATGGCGTCCGGGTGATAGCCGCGCATCCTCCGCGTACTGTTTTTTTACACACAGGATGCCCGGGAAATCCCGAACGACTCTCGCTGAGGCGCCGGCGTCATTTTTCCCCAAAATGCTGCTCTCGTTGAGGCGCCGGCTTCATTTCTGCTCCCGAATCGTTCCGAATCGTGCTCCCGCTGCAGCGTGGGCCTCATTTTCGGATCGGTGTTTGGCCTCCGTCGTTCAGGATGGCGTTCTCGCCCCAGCGCGGGCCTTTTCTCGCGCGCCCATCCGCCCGCCACCACCGCGCCGCACCGCCACAGGGAGCTCCACCGAAGGCCCCAGTGGAGGTGCCCGCATGCGGTTCCCCCACACAGGGCAGCGTTTCGTAGCTTCATAGGGAGCTCCACCGACGGCCCCAGTGGGGATGCCCGCATGCGTTTCCCCCACCCAGGGCAGCGCTTCGTAGCCCCATAGGGAGCTCCACCGAAGGCCCCAGTAGGGGTGCCCGCATGCGGTTCCCCAACCAGGGCAGCGCTTCGTGGCCCCATAGGAAGCTCCACCGAAGGCCCCAGTGGGGGTGCCCGCATGCGGTTCCCCCACCCAGGGCAGCGTTTCGTAGCCCCATAGGGGGCTCCACCGAAGGCCCCAGTGGGGGTGCCCGCATGCGGTTCCCCCACCCATGGCAGCGCTTCGTAGCCCCATAGGGAGCTCCACCGAAGGCCCCAGTGGGGGTGCCCGCATGCGGTTCCCCCACCCATGGCAGCGCTTCGTGGCCCCATAGGGAACTCCACCGAAGGCCCCAACGGGGGTGCCCGCATGCGGTTCCCCCACCCAGGGCAGCGCTTCGTGGCCCCATAGGGAGCTCCACCGAAGGCCCCAGTGGGGGTGCCCGCATGCAGTTCCCCCACCCAGGGCAGCGCTTCGTAGCCCAATAGGGAGCTCCACCGAAGGCCCCAGTGGGGGTGTTCGCATGCGTCTCCCCTACCCAGGACAGCGCTTCGTAGCCCCATAGGGAGCTCCACCGAAGGCCTCAATCGGGGTGTTCGCATGCGTCTCCCCCACCCAGGACAGCGCTTCGTGGCCCCATAGGGAGCTCCACCGAAGGCGCCAGAGGCGCAGTTCGCATGCGTTTCCCCCACCCATGACAGCGCTTCGTGGCCCCATAAGGAGCTCCAGCGAAGGTCCCAATGGCGCAGTTCGCATGCGTCTCCCTCACCCAGGGCAGCGCTTCGTGGCCCCATAGGGAGCTACACCGGAGGCCCCAGTGGCGGTGTCCACATGCGTCCGCGCCACCAATTTCGGCGCACCTCTCACAAGTTTCGTGGCCCCATAGGAGCTTCACCGAAGCCGGTACCCACAATGCGGCACTCGGAACTGCACATGGTTGGGTCCTTTGTCAGGCTAATTCCATTTGACGTCGTCGGACGGTCTTCGCTGCGGCGCCAAATACAGTCTTGGTTCGGCGCTCGTGCTTCCCCACTCGGGCTTTTCGGGACGCCCGACCATCCTGCCCATCGACAATACATTCCGCGGATGGCGCGTGTCAGTGTCCCCGATGGCTGCCCTGATTGAGCTGGTGGGTGGCCCGGTCGCACCGATACCCACATTATGCGGCAGGGAATGTGTTATTATTGTTGGATTGCTCTCGCCCCCAAATGGCCTGTCATCGCCCAGCATTGACTGTCAGCCTAACCCTCGCTGTTGATCAGACCCTTGGCCTCGTATCCAGCTTACTCCTGGTCCTAACCAGCACCCTACTCGCAAGTTGAGTCTGGGCCAGAATTCCAACACCCCATTCCTAAGATTACCTTGGTATTGATTCGATATGGATTCTTAGTACCGACACGACCGATTACCCTAAGATTATCCAGCGTGCTGAACCAACCTTGATTGCATCACCTTCATATCATCTTTCACGCCTCATCACTATAACCCCCCAAAGTTGATACCACAGCAAGCTACTCACAACATTGACTTGGTCTCGAATCCTCTGCCTAACCCTGGCCGCCACAAACACCTCTCTCCTAGTCTTGTTTGTGATGTTGACCGCAGCTGGAGAGCAAGTAGGGCCTCGCGAGAAGAAACAGCATCGAGGGTGGAAAAGCGCCAGAGGTAAGGACAACATTCGAGGGGCAACCTCAAATCGAGACATGCACATTGTGAAGGCACAGGGGAGACGATAAAAGCCTGCTCCCCCACAGGCCTCGCCTCAGGACAAGATGCGCAGAGGGTAACATGTTACAGCGACCCAGATGATGCCCAGACATTCGCGGACCTTCTCAGGCAGCAGGTGGAAGCTGCCAAGCACATCATCGCTTTGAACGAGAGGATCGCCAACTCCCACCTGTGGCTCCGCGATTCCGGCTCGGACGGTGCCCCGCACCTGCCCGCGCATGCGAGGAACGAAAGCGCGAGGAGCCCTCAGCGGCACACTGCGGTGCCAGAAGATCCGCCCCCTGTGAAACGGCCGAACCCCGCCGCGGCAGACGCCGACAGACCGACGGCGCTTGGAGCCCGCAAGGGCGGCAAGAGCGCGGACGGCGGCCCCGCGGGGTTGGAGGCCGAGGCGCGGCCTGCGCGCGCTCATCCTCCGCAGGACGGCCGCGGTGAAGAGGGCGGCCCGCACAAAAGGGTCGCTGCAGAGCCGCTGCTGTCCGCGTGGAAGAGGACGCAGGATTCGGAGGAGGGCCAGTTGAGGCAGGTGTCGAAAACCCGCCCCCGGAAGCACGAGCCGGCTTCTTGGGAGGAGAGCATGTACAAGGACTACGGGTGGTGCGTCGAGGTGGCAGTGCACCCATATTTTCGCGCGCTCACTTTGGTCGCGGTGCTGTCCAGCACACTGTGGATCGCGGTGGAGACGGATTACAAGAAGGAAGCGGATGGGTTCGACGCCTCTCCTGTGTTCCAAATCGTCGACCAGACGCTGTGCGCTTTCTTCACACTGGAGATAGCTGTCCGTCTCGGGGCCCTCAGACAGAAATGCGCTATCTTACAGAGTCCGGTCTTCTTGCTGGACATGTTCTTGGTGCTTATCACGGTTTGGGAGACGTGGGTGAAGGTGATATTTGAAGACATCCAGTTGCGTTGCCGCGCGCATCCGCCATACTGCGCCTGGACACGGAACTGGTGTGTTCAGCGCCGCCGCTTGCGTGTAGCGTTGCACTGTCTGCGAAGGAATCCGTTGAAGGCTGCGCAGGAGTGTGGATGCGCACGTGCAGGGGTACGTAGAGGATTGCTAGTTTCACTCATCCGAAACTGCACGTTGCGTCATGTGCGTGCCTACGTTCAAGACGGGCGGGGAGGAACGGGAGGAAAAGGACGAGCACCCCAGCTAAGCACCAATATAGCAGCAAAGGTGAAGAGGCGGGCGGGTCGAGGAGTGAGGAGGTCGGCTAGTGAAAACGTGCATTCCCAAGTATTCCTGAGGATTCCAAGACCTCGACGACTCGGGACAGGGGTGGGAGCACGCCCATGTGTACCTTAGTGTACTCCTTACCAGAGCTCGTGGCCGCCCAGACCAAAAATGTAGCGACCACTGAGGCGACAGCACGATTCCAGAATAAGTTGTGAGGTAGTCACAGGCGAGTTGGCTGCCGCACCTGACGGTCTAGGGCTCTCCGTTCCCATTGTGGGACTCTTGTGTGGTTTCTCTGCCACGAACAAAACCCTCTACCAAAACGCTGTCAGGGAAAGGACGACGAGGAGTTGGAGGCGGAAAGGGGAGAGACCCGTCCGACACAGGGTCTGCATCATAGTCGGGATTGACCACATCGTCATTGCCAACATCCTGACCGGCATCGCTCGCAATCAGTGCCGCGCCAACCGCGACCATCATCGCTTTGGCCATGCCATCGCCGTCATCATGGTCATGACGATCATCAACAGAGCATCCAACAAGTAAATCCCAAAGTGTAGACAGGACCTTACAGAAAATAAACAAGACCTCCCAGAGCGTGAACAGGACCGAGGCAACAATAAACAGGACCTGCCCAAAAAGAAATCAGGATCATTGAAAACAGTTAACAGAACCTCACAGAAAGTAATCAGGAGCTTCCAAACAGAAAACAAGACCATGTAAAGCGTAAACAGGATCTACCAAAACTGAACAAGGGTTCCAGGCAATTAAACATGACCTCCCAGAAAGTGAACAGGACCACGGGGAAAAGTAAACAGAACCGACCACAAAGTAAACACGACCTTCCAGAAAGTAAACAGGACCTCCGACCAAGGACCATCGAACAAAAAAATGCTGCTTCGAGCAACCCCTACCGAAAACTTAAGCGTTTGTTCCCGACGGCGCGCGGTCCAATAACTGGTCGACAACTGCCGCCCTGGATTCAAAAAACGGTTCAATCGTGTTCCATGTAGTCACGTTCTTTCATGATTTGTTTTATTATGTCATGTTGTGTTCTCGGCGGGCCGGCGTGACGTCGTGACGCTTGTGACCATGTATGTTTTCTTATGATTGAGTATGGTCTGTGATACTCATCTCTGTCACTATCTAATTTTAGATAGTATGGTATGATCCGCTATGCGACACAATGTGATGACATGATATGTTATGTCAGGTTATGATATGGTATGCTTTGTTTCGCGATGCTGTTGACAGCTCGGCTCAGTATAGTATAATATGATATGTTATGCTAGTATGTCTCGCTGTTCTTTGCTGCCGTGTTACGATATGTTCTACGATGCTGGCACGATGTGACATGATATGTTTTGCCATGGCGTGTTATGTTCTGATTGGCTCTGTTAGGTTGTGTTATGTCATGTTCTGCTCTGGTATGGTATGTGATGCTGTGTTTGTTGACACCTCGGCTCTGTATAGTAAATTATGATATGCTCTGCTGGTATGTGTCGCTATGCTCTGATGTCGTGTTATGACATGTTATGAGATGCCGTGACATGATATGATATATGTTGTCAAGGTGTGTTATGTTATGCTCGGCTATGTTATCTTATGGTGTGTTATATCGTCGTCTGTTCTGTCATGTTCTGCTCTGGTTTGCTATGTGATAGTATGTTATGCCCTTGTTGCATGACATTGCTATGTTATGTTATGTTATGTCATGCTCGAGTTCTGTTCTGCCATGTTATGTTGTGTCATGTTGTGTTATGTCGCGTTCGACGTCGCTATGCGCTGCTGTCGTGTTATGGTATGTTCTGTGATGCTTTGCCATGATATGGTATGTTCTGTCAAGTTGTGTTTTTGATGCTCGGCTCTGTTTTGTTATGTTGTGTTCTGTCGTCTTCTGGTATCCCATGTTCTGTTCTGGTATGTTATGTGTGTTATGTTTGTTGACGGCCGGGCTTTGTATAGTATATTGTGATCTGTTTTGCTAGTATATGACGCTATGCTCCGCTGTCGTGTTATGATATGTTCGATGATGTTGTGCCGTGGTATGATATGTTATGGCAAGGGGTGTTATGTTATGCTCGGCCCTATTATGTTACGTTGTGTGTCTGTCGGCTTCTGTTGTGTCATGCTCCGCCCTGGTATGTTCTGTGATGTTCTGCAATGCTCTACTTAGTCATGGCATTGCTATGTTCTGTCATGGTCTGTCATGCTCGTGTTATATTATGTAGTGTTATGTTGTGTCATGTTGTGTTATGTCGGCTTCGTCGTCGTTATGTTTCGTTGTCGTGTTATGATATGTGGTGTTATGATGTGCCATAATGTGATATGTTATGTCAAGGTGTGTTAAGTTATGCTCTGGTCTTTTATGATATGGTGTGTTCTGTCGTATTATGCTCTGTCATGTTCTGCTATGGTATGGTATGTGATGTTATGCGGTGCTTTATTTTGTCATGGCATTGACATGTTCTGCCCTGCCATGGTATGTCATGCTCGTGTACTGTTCTGGCATGTTTTGTCATGCCGTGTTCGTCGTCGCTATGTCATGTTGTCGTGTTATGAGATGCTATGCCATGCTATGCCGTGAGATGATATGCTCCGTCAAGGTGTGTTATGTTATGCTCGGTTATGTTATGTTATGTCGGGATCTGTCGTGTTCTCTTATGTCATGTTCTGGTCTGGTATGATCTGTGATGTCCTGTCATGCGCTACTTAGTCATGATATTGTTCTGTCATGTTCTGTTATGCTCTGTTCCGTTCTGTCATGTTCTGTTATGTCATGTTGTGCTCTGTCGTGTTCGTCGAGGGCGCGAGGCGAGACACCCGGGACTCTCGGGGATCATTTGGATAGTTTAGGGTTTGGCGGCCGCGGTATGCAGGGTGTGGTTGACCGGGCGCGAGGCGGGACACCCGGGACAGCCGTGGATCATCGGGACAATTTGGGGTCTGACGGCCGCGGTATGCAGAGTGGGGTTGGCCGCGCGCGAGGTGGGATATTTAGGATATTCGGGACAATGTTGGGTTTGGCGGCCGCGGTATGTAGGGTGGGTTTGGCCGGGGGGCCTCTCCTTGAAATCTAACAACCCCATCCTGTCGGGTGGGAAAAATTACCTTCCGATATGGAAGCAGGACCTCCCAAAAAGCAAGCAGGACATCCTACAAAAAAGGGCCTCGCAAGAAGTACACAGGACAATCAAAAACAGTAAGCACGGCCTCCCAAGCAGTAAACAGCAATTGCCAACAAGTAAACAGGACCACGGGAAAAAAAATAAGCAGGATCGACCGAAAAACTACACCAGACCTTCCCGAAAGTAAACAGGACCAAGGAAAAAATAAACACGTATTGGGCGGACTTGGAGGCATCTTGAACCTTTTTGGGCCATCTTGGGACAATCTTCGAACTTCTCGAGAGCGGTCTTTGAAGCCATTTTGGACCATCTCAGGCAAATTTGGAGGCTTTTGCGGGGCCGTCTTGGAGGGTTCTTGGGTCGCCATGGGATAATCTTGGAGGCCGTTGGGCCATGTTAGGGCAATATTCGAGGCCTCTTGGACCGTCTGGGGCGGTCGGTAGGCCGAACAGAAGCAAATGCCAAAGTCCTTCGGGAACCTCAGGGGAATCCATGATTGTGACAGTTTCGGGCCCTCCTGGAGGACCTCTTGGAGGCCTCTTGGGCCGTCTCGGAGGCCTCTTAGGGGGCCTCTTGGGCCTTCGTGGGCCGTCTTGGAGGCTTCTCGAGCGGAGTTGGCATCTTGAAATTGATTGGGCCCTTTGGGAGGCAATATTGGACCCTCTTGGGCTGTCTTGGAAGCCATATTGGATCATGTTGGGCGGACTTGGAGGCCCTCTTGGAGCCGTCTTGGAAGCTTCTTGAGCTGTCATGGGATAATATTGGAGGCCTTCGTGGCCATCTGGGGGCAGTCTTGGGGGCCTCTTGGGCTGCCTTGGGCTGTCGGAAGGCCGAAAAGAAGCGAATGCCAAAATCTTTCAAGCACCACAGGCTTTTTGAGCCCTCCTGGAGGCCCCTTGAGGTTTCTATTTGGCTTTCCGACGGCCCAAAAGGCCCCCAAGATTGACCCAAGATGGCTTCAAATGCCTCCAAGACGGCCCCAGGGCGGCTCAAGACGACTTCAAGACGGCTCCAAGAGGGCCTCCAAGTTCGCCCAATATGGTCCAAGATGGCACCCAAGACGGCTTAATAGGGTCCCAGATACCCCCAAGTCCGCCACAGCAGCCTCCAAGACGGTCCCAGAGGGCCCAAGAGGCCCCCAAGAGATTCTCCAGGAGGGCTCAAAGAGCCTGACGTCATAGATTGTCCTTCGGTTATTGAAAGATGTTGGCGTTCGCTTCTTTTCGGCGTTCCGACAATCCAAGACGGCCCAAGAGGCCCCCAACATTGCCCCAAGATGGCCTAAAAGGCTTCCAAGATGATCTTATGGCAGCTCAAGTAGCCTCCAAGACGGCTCCAAGATGGCCTCCAAGTTCGCCAAATAAGGTTCAAGATGGCCTCCAAGACGGCCCAAGAGGGTCCCAGATACTTCGAAGACCGCCAAAGAAGCTTCCAAGACGGTCCAATTCCAAGACATTAAGCTAGCGACTTCGTGCCCTCAGAAAATAAACGCGCTCTCCGTCCCCATGCCAAGCAGGTTGAATGGCCTTCGGCCCATCCCGCCACCGCGCTTGGGTTGTGGACCAGACTTATCAGTGATGCGTCTTCGGCTCTCT